ATGTCGGAGACACTGGGTGGACATGGGGATTAGTTTGCTCCATTGTCTCCATAAAAATAATAAACGGGTGACGTGATACTATTTATTACAAGTTCGAACACTAAAGTATAGGAGCAGTTATACAAATTATCAAATAAGAACTAACGTTCCACCACTGTCAGCCCTAGCAACCTGTTCACTACTTTTCTGTCAAAACAATAACAATAAATAATAATAATAAAAGCCACGCAGCTATGGTTCTCTCATCAATTGAACGATGCAGTTGCTTCCCGGGCATTCAGTTTTGTTCCGGTCACAGGGGTGTTTCCTAGTGCATTCCTCTACCCTATCAGCTTACTTTTTACCAAACATGACCATATAACGAAGTGTTTACTAAAGTTAGATAATGATGGTCTGTCACACACAAGCTAAAACTTAGCCCTGAAAAGATAACAATTTGGTACTTCAAATATTTCTATAACATAAACAAAAACAACATTCCATCGACGGTGACAGTTTCTCGAGTGTAAAACCAGCTTCGTTAGTAAATAAAATATTATTAGTAAATTCACTATAATCATCTTATTTTTCCACAATGCTATTACAGAGCCGAAAAAAAATTATTATGGTGAAAAATCAAACTTATACCTGCTTTAAACAATTTTTGTTACAATTCGTAACACCAAAATTACTAATGACGTTTATTTGAAGCATGGTAACTTTATTAATTACAGAAATATTTATCAAAAATTTGATATTTAATTACACTTTATTAGCGATTTCCTGCTAAACGGTTACAATTATCGGCTTGAATAAAGAGTACATCATTTTTTCTGATATTGTTTCTCTTTTCAATAATATTAAAATTTCTGTGATGTATAGCAAGAGAAAAAAGTTATGAACACAAATTTTGAGGAAAAGGAGAAATATTGCACGGAATGAATGATATTGTTGATTTGAGTGAAGGTTCGACTCAAAATTAACTTTCAGTAGTGATAATCAAAATACTGTTTTATTTACTTATAAAAATGTAATTGATTTTCTAGAGGTTTTGATGATATCGATCTACAGGTTTCTGTAAATATTTCAACAGTTAATATTTTAAATGTGACAACATGTGCCCACGTATTGGCATTAAAGAGTAACTGTTGGATGAATTTTCATTTCTTAGTCCATTCTTACAGACGGAATCTTTATTTATCAGAAAAAGTTTCATCTAGATGTGCCCGTACCACTTGTCCAAAATGTGGAGCTGCCACATCATGTTGAAACCATAGGTAATTGTCTGCCGGTAAATTGGGATTGTCATCATTCGGGAATAATCGTCTAAGCTCTGGAATAATATATTTTTGCAAAAATAATAAATATCTTTCAGAGGTCAAATTTCCGTTTATAAAATAGGTCCTATGACGTGCCACATCAAATATTTACTTTCTGTGGTCATTTGGTGTGAACGTCTGTCATCCAATGTGGAATTTGGTCTGACCAATATCTACAGTTGTATCTATTTATGTGCAAGTTTAAACAAAATTTGGATTCGTTAGAAAACAATATGTGGGTGATACGATTGACATTTATGAACGCTACAAAGAGAAGCGGAATACAGACTGATTTCGATCCGCTATGCTACGAGGTTGATGTTCGCGCTCAACGAAGACAATGTTTTTTTAGAAGGCGTTCACCGCGCAACTATTCTGTTTATTTCTGCGTATTAAACAAACAAACACAATACATTTTCAATATAGAATTATACCTAAATTATAAAATTTACATAAAATTAAAAATAATTTTAAATTGCACAACCAAACAGAAATTTTAGGTGAAGCGGTGCGTCACTTGCGTCANTCCCGTGAAGGGACAAACCGATCAGTTCGTTATCACTTATGGACGAGAAATTGCTCTGATAACGTGGGACGGTGAGAGCGAAAAAGTCGCAAGCCTGAAGATATTGCATGAAGTGGATGAAAACACAGAGAATGTTTTTAATGATGGAAAGTGTGATCCATCAGGAAGACTTTGGACAGGTAGAGTAAAGAATTAAATTATTTATAATCTGGGAGAATTAAACCAAACACATACCCGTTTCAAAAATCGGGCCTAACCCGAATATTATGGGCTTAAAATTAAGTAAAAAATACACAGAATAAAAGCCTAAATTTGTGTATTTGTAGAGGCCGAGCGTCATATTTTTCGGGACACCCTGTATAAAATATGAATTAGTTTTATAAAAGGCTTGCATTATTGTAACAGCGATAACGTAAGGTGCTTGTGGTTTTATAAATGTTACATTGATAATAATTAATCATCAATATTTCTGTTGAAGAATGTTACTTGTCATCTTGATAATAAAATATCGAATTTCTTTTACCATAGATTTTATAATTAGGTAGATGTTGACAACTATTTTCTTTATATAACTTAAGCTACTAATAATAATTTAACAATAACTACTAGCTTGCTACCGCTGTTGATTTGATATCTTTATTATAACTTATAAGACATTAACTAACACAATATTTATAAGGTGCTTTTATAAAACTCTTAACAATGAATATGCGGTAGATGCTACCAGAGACATACAAAACAGAAATACTCTATATCAATAGTTATGCATCGTTACTGTAAGTTAAATAATAGTAACAGTTATAATCAATAGGCATTACTACTGTCATTGTAGTTAGGTACTTTTAACACTTTTAGGGTTATAAAGGTGATGTATTAAAATATGGCAGCTCTGTTGATTGGTCTTGGTTCATTGCAATCGGTCTTCTTTAGAGGTTTTATTCTAACAATAAGCGAATTTCTAAGAAGGTTTAAAAGGTCACATAAGACTCTAACTAACTATTGTAACAAGTAAACATTTACAAAATCAAACAACAGTTACTTAATACTAATGATTTGAATGTGAGAACGCAATAGTAATTATGAAAGGTATTAACTTCAGATTTAAACAATATTGTTTCTGTCTCTGTTAAAATTAAAATAATAATACTAAAGTGCAAAGCATTATTTGGTAATACAAAAATATCTAGAAATTAACTAAACAATTATTTTTTTTTTATAAAAATGTGGTCATACCTCCCCGCTATGCACGTCATGGGTTATAACCTGGATCAACTAAAACCCTCAAATAATCATGTTTCTTAGTAATACTTATCGATCATAACTTATCCCTCGCCTTCAAAGCAGTTAAAAGTTATTGGCAAAAACACATTTTTTTTATGTAAAAAATGGTTAATAATGTTTATTTCTTATAAACGCTACTCAATCAAACTTCAAACAAATTCCCAGTTTAGACCAATTTATTATTAAAATATATACGAAGATATAAGAAATAAGAAGAAGTAGAGTAGTATTTTATTAAGAACGTCACATGACTAATGGGAAATTTATGAATCCAAAATACGATAATTGAGTTAGATAAATCTTATGAAATATTGCTTCATTTTGCATATTGCATATATTTTTTCTTTCGCTCACCGATAAAAGATGCTTGATGGCGCACATATTGAGCAAAAAATGTTGAGAGTTTATTTAATTTCGACTAAAATAGTTTACTGTTAAAAGTAAAAAAAGTGTTCGAGATAAAAGAGATATTTTGTTTCACTTTATATTATTCAACAACATTAATATGTTACACAAGATTTGAAATGTGATGCAAATTAATATATAATTAAAAATAAGATATTCTTAATGTTTCAGGATAAGATGTTAAAAACAGTTTATGAAACATGACCCTATTTAATACAAACTGTGGTGAAACACTGTGTTTACTATTTTCTTATATTCACTCATTCATTAATCAAGTTTTGTTTTTATTTTTGATGTGAAAGATCGCGTTTATTCTACCTATAAAATTAAATTAGTGAGACACATATCCAATTTAGTAACATTTCAATTGTGTTTTTGTCTCAATCGCTGTAGATATAATATCCGGAACTTTTCCATTAAGATATGACCCATTCTATAATTATCATTTATTTATTGAAAATATTTCCAAGTGTAATACACTAGCAGCTTCCTCTAGGTACCATGGGGGTCGCGCCGCCAGACGATGATATTCCTGACGGGAAAGGCAACTTTTACAGTTTAAAAAATGGAAAAGTAACCAAACATCTTACCAAAATAGGGATTTCCAATGGAATTGCTATTGACGTTGCTGCAAACAAATTTTACTACGCTGACTCTTATAGGGGTACACTCGACCAATACGACTTTGACATCAAAGAAGGGACTATAAGTAAGTACCTAAATATGAAAAAAATATCGTTTGCGCCCTAATACTATGTAAATATTTTTGGAATCCGAGTCACTAATCCGAAATTCGGCATAATATTCTGCTAACATTATAATCATCAATTAGCAAAATATAAAACATCATCAATGGCTTTATAAATGTCCAAAAATTGTAAAAGTATCCTGAAAATTGTCTAGCTATGTAAATCAGAAATTTTATATAATCAGTTGCTTTAGAGTGACAGTGTGATGATTCGACCATATCTCTGTCTCAGTTACGAAATAAAAAATTACATTTTTCTAGACTATAGGCAACTATAACTGCAGAATAGTTGTTTTCTTCAAAATCTTCCAGGCAACTATGTAGAAAAAATTGAGACAGGAAATGGACTAATCGTTTTACACACAAAAAGTCCAGTGCTAACCTATGGTGACCGAAGACGCTGCAATAGGAAGTGGAAAAGCTCATAAGTGGTATTAAAAATCTAGCTTGACTGAGGATCATGAGGACAAGATCTTGAGAGCCATATCCTAGCCCTAGATGTCTTGCTGAAATATTTTCATTCAAGAACAAGCACGATTTGTATGCTAGGATTATAATAAGGATATAATATCAATCATTTGGACTCAGGGTGGGGTATACACTAGAAGCTGTAAGGCGATTTAAATACAATTAAGAACTTCAAGATATATAAACGACTCAGAGATAAACATATGAGCTGGAACTGGAATACATGGGACTAAGGAAATTGTTCAAGTTCAATTTAGTCTTGGAATGCATGCTGCTATCTTCCAGATGGAGGCGATGGTCATTAAGTACTTTGAAACGGGACGAACATTAAAAACCAATGACTTACTCCTAGCGAAAAGTTATCTGCATTCACCTACAGTATTGCGTGCTGAGCACTCATGCGCAAATATAAGGCTCAAAAATGGTAGCTAGAAATTCATGGCAAGCAAGCCAAAAAGTTCTTCTACCTCCTGAACCAAAGTCGCATATGAATAAGGATTGCCAGTAGAATAATGCAGACTCAAGAATAAAAGACAAGATAGATGAGACAGCGATTTTGAAGATATAGCAATTGTGTATTTTCTTCTGTAAAGAAGAGAAACAACTAGAAGTTGGTAACAAAATGAAAAAAGTGCTGAGAAGTGTTCAGAAAGTGGTATTAGGCATTTTTTTATCAAAAAGATAATATTACCAGGCTATTCAACACTCATCAAAATACCCATATACCAAATTTGACGACAAATGTCTATTGAGTGTTTTTGTAAGTAGTACCAAACTTTGAAAAATCAAACCGCTAAAAATTAAAATAAGCAGGTCAACGATTGCCATGAAAGTGAAAACAAGTACCAATCGGACAAAGAAAAAATACAGCACTTTTAATTGCGGCCATAATAAAAATAATAATTAACCTACAAAAAATGTAGATAATGAATCATAAATATTAAGTGGTTAAACAAAAAATAGCAAAACAATCTAAATTAAATTTTAGTTTTCTAGAACTATGGACTTTTACTTTTGGGGTTTTATAAAACAAGAAGTTTATAAAAACAGACCAAGGAATTTGGATGACCTAATGAATTGCATAAGACAAGCTTGTGCAGAGATGACTCCACGGTTATGTAAATTATTTTTTTTTAAGAAGGGGATTGGAAAAATTTGTTCGACTGGAAGGAGGTTTGGTGGAGAAAACTAAAACTTAATTTAAATTAACGTTTTGCAATTTTGTTTAAGAACTTAGTACATATTTATAATTCATTACGTTTTTTGTAATTATTATTTTTATAATTAATTAATAATAATTAATTAATATATTTAAAAGTATTAAATTTATAGAGCCTGTATTCTTTCTTTGTCCGATTGGTATTTGTCTTCACTTTCATGGCAATCTTTGACCTGCTTATTATAATTTTTAGTTGTCTGATTTTTCGAAGTTTGGCACCACATAAAAAAACACT